CTCATGGTGTGGTTTGATAAATACTTGCAACCTTGGTTTACTGTTTAATTTATTTAACTATTTCAACCAATTTATATGCTTAACACGTTTTTTTTTATCAAAGGTTAACACATGTTTATTTCCTTTTTTTTAGTTTTAATTTCTCCATTTGATCAAATTCCTCAATTATGCTGATTTTTTCAAGTTATACAAAAAAAAATTCTTCAACTGGAGAGGATTGTTGAGATATCAATGCAAGTCCCACATCAAAGTTGGACATTAACTTCTATAACAGTTATTTCTGAGTCAACGAGACGACTAGACTGACAGTCGTTTTGTTCCTGCAACTAGCATGTTGAGACACATGATGTGCGAACTTGTTAAACAACATGTTGATAATGGCATCTCCAAAGTGAGCCACGAGCAATGGTTCACTCACCGCTCTTATATAATTGGCTTCATTTTGTCCTGATTTACTTCTCTTTGTCTCGTCTTGGTTACAATGGCCAAGATCATATTCATGTGTCTCCAAGTKTTTGATTTCAAAGGAACCCTCTTTGTGTACAATCTCCTTGACTTCTTTTTCGGTAGGGTCATAAAATGGCAGGTAGAACGAATCCACCTTTGATGCAGTCACATGACCCTATCATAAAAGAAAGTTCATGACAAAAAAATCAAATATATGAAACAATGTTTGGACATATTCAAAATGTCGACGAACAATAAATGTTTTGGTTTTGGTATATGTATTATATACCTCGATGACTAGGTCCTGGAGAGATTTGGATAATAATGTCCAAAAGTGACAACAATCTCTATGCAATGGCTTATCAATAGTGTTTCTACCGAGSAAAGTGAGAACCATACGTCCATTAGAAACCATCTCTTCAGAACGCAGTTTTAGAAATGTCGAGAAATCTCTTTGGAATTGGTTTAAATAAGCTTTGTATGTACTTAGAGGACTTGAAGTTGTGATGTACACACTAGTCTTGTTCTTCTCAAGTCCTTCAGGAACCTTACAATCAGATAATTCCAAAACATTAATATAGCAATTTTCCAAATTATCAAATAACTCAATTTCTATATAAATAGAGTTTATTAATGAAATATCAACACTTATCATACCTTAGAGAGCCAATGGAGACCATAAGAAGAATGCACAAAATGGAGACTTTTACGAGGGAAGAGCCTCGAGTAGAAGGAACCGGGGACTCCAGAAACGAAGTATGATACTTTACTCGCAAGGTTCTTCTCTTTGAAGAATTGTATGGATTTGAATGTTGTGTTGAAATCGTTATTGGGGAGATCGTTTAGACAACAATCTATTTCTGGTGGGTTTTGATTCCTTTGTTGACATAGCACATGGATTGTATTGATGATTTCGGACATGGCCAAGAACGCGTTTTGTCCTGAAGAACAACCCAAATCAGCTACTTTAATGTATTGAGGAAAGTTCAAGTTTATCATCAGTTCCTTCGTGTTCTTAACCAAGACATGCTTAGCCTTTGATAACACTCTTCTCTGAAAAACAAACCATTAAATTAAAAATGAAACAAATTAAATTCAGCGACCATATACAATCATATTTTTAATTTTTTAAATTACTTATATTAAATATAAATTACTTAACATCATTACTTTAAATTTATATTATATTAAATCTAAAACCGAACCGAAACAAAAACAAAACAATTAATCAAAGATTGCAAAATGAAATTTATCGAAGATGAAAGAACCTGAAGAAGAGAATTAGTGGAGTAACTGTTCTCTCCATCTCCCCCACTCATACTTAGAACACTCACAAAACTTCTCTCTTCATTGCTATACTTCTTCTCATTATCACTCTTACCATTACACCTGCATCACATGTATGAAAAAACGTAT